ATTTCCATTATGAACTCCTGATTTTTAATTGTTAGATAAGTAAGTAAAAGAAACCATAGGAGAAGGAAAGAGTGGTGAAGCAGAGTCCTGAAGTCTTTTCCCATTTACCCTGAGCCTGAAAGGTCCACGTAGTTCAGCTTAATACAGTACAACTTAACACTAGTCCAAAATAAAAGGAAAAGGAACTCCTGGACTGTTTTGGGGCAGAAGCTTTCCTATAGCATGACCTTCTAACATATGCAAAGTCTACTAGGAGCATAAAAGCAAATATATCATGATAATTTTCAGCCATATCACAGCATTGTCAATGGTCACTTCACTGCAAGTAAAATACTGTGGCTTTTGTCAGACTCTTGTTCCTGAAATCGTGTACTACCTTACAGTGCCAACATGTGCTTTGTTGTACAGCTCCAGTACCTATAGAGAAAGGAACTCTGGTGATATAGACCTTCTTAATATGTAAAACAAAACCAGATTTACATTTTAAAAATTAAAAGCTCCATCTTATTTAGCTACCTGATTGTACCAAGTGTTACCACTCATGGTTACTGCAGTTGCCAATGTCTAACTACTTAGCTCACCTTCTCTGAATACACTTAGAGCAGACAGTTAACCTGCTCTGCTTTCCTGAGACTTTTTCAGCACCTCAGCAAATATGGGAGCAATTTATTATCAGACAGAAAGTTATACAGATACCACAGGTGACTTATCATTGAAGGTTTCTAAACCATCAGACACAGAGTAAGAACGAGACATTGCTCTGTAAGAATTCTGAAATAAATATGTTGAGGTGTTCCTCTGTGCAAAACACTGCAACTACTGTACACAAAAAATACCTGTCACACAGCAGGAAGAGACAGCAGCTTCAGTAGGTCAGATGAGCACCTGATTTATTTATCAGCTTAAGGCCTACAATGTAACGCATTGTTTTTCGTCAACATATTGTTTAATGTGATTATATAATATACAGGGTCAAAGGCTGACTCGGCCTCAACCTGTCTGGATCTATGTGACAAATAAAAAGAAAATGCAATGCTGTATGCGTAAATCTGGATGCAAACACTGCTCATGTATAGCCTAAAACCGATTTTTAGTTTAGCTAGTTTAGTTACCCTTAGTTAGAGACCTATTTGCCATATTTTGACAGCTAATCTAATAACTTCATAAATGTCACTGTTGATTTTAGGGAAAGCCTGGAAGAACTGGTGGAAAATAGAAGCTTTGAACATAGCAGAACCAGTATGTAATTGTTTTTTAGATATAAAATGCATCTCTACTAAGATTCTGTGAAATCCTGAGTAGTTATATTGCTGCTGACACAAAGAAATCAGAAAGTTCCAGGGAGAGGTAAGAGATAGTAATAATCCTTTCAATATTAATATCCATAATGAAAACACTAGGTAGATCCCTTATTTATACTAAGCAACACTCATAGCTGTTAATGGACCAATGAAGTGAAGAGAGTAAGCTGTAGGACAGACTATAATTACAGCTAGAATCAACCCAAATGGCAAATTCAACTACTGAAAAGAGAGAAGACTTTTCTTGAACTGCTGAACATATAGAAAGATTATCCAAAAGATAAATAACTAGTGTTATGCTTAGATACAGTTTCATTTATTATTTATTATCTAGTTCAAATAAAAACTCAAAATCAGAGAAAACCCCAGTTTCCAATCTTTTCCCATCCTCTATGACACATGAAATAATCTGTGCAGAAGTCCTTCAAAGACCACTACAAAAACCAAATCACATCATCAAGAAAAGACCATTCCCTGTTTATCATTTTGCTCTGTGCTTCCATTGCAGAAAATAAACCAGGTAAAACAGTTTCAATGGTGTGTAAATGTTCAAGGCAAAAAAAGAATATATTGCCCAGTTTTCACTGTATTTTTAAACTGATATCTGCTAACAGACTATGTTATTCCTATGTAGTCATTGATTAAATTTCAGGTTATTTGCTTTCATTAGAAGTTTATCTCCCAAGCTTGTACTTTGCTATACTTAAAAACATGGCCAAAACAGTGCACATTTAGCCACTGAATGTTCTACAACACATACCGCAATTGTTCCCAGTTTTACTGCCTTTGAATAGCAACTGCTTTTGAAGCAGAAAGAAAGTATTGAGTTTTAGGAAGTGTAGTATTTGGCAGCTAGTCACAGCCAACAAAAATGATGTACACAACATATGCACGTTGGTATTGCAGCTCAGAAATAAATGCACATTGCTTTCCTTTAGATATCTAAGTATCTGACATCAGAAGCTTGAAAATAACACAAATTGCCTTTAGTACACAAAGTTTCTTTCATAAACTTTCAAAAATTGAAAAAGCAAGAATGCAACATACCAATAACAGAATTCTCTAGAATCAGAGTATTTTAGTAAAAGGTAACAGTTTGAAGTAAAATTGCTAGCAAACCAAGTTGGGTAGAAAACCAATCAGTTTAGAACAGGTTCAAAATGGGGTGTCTTTTGACACACAGATTTTGTACTGCAATGGATGATGATAATAAAATTATATTAACTGCATTAGATAAGTATATTCTGGCAGTATTTTTGCTGTATATGACACAGAAGTAGAATTCAAATGCAGCTACGCTGAAATTAGAACTTTCAGTTATAGCTGACATTACTCACTGGATATCTTAGGCATAATGGAAACAGTCGTTCATGGACACCATTTTCCCCTTAAATAGAGGTATTTGACAAATTCTGTGACAAAAACTATCCTTTCTTTCTGGGTATAACATTTTAGGAAGTTCTACAAATGCTAGGAATAAAAGCTCTTAGCCTTGCAGGGAAGCGTTTGAGGGTACAGGTGGATGAAAAATTAGGCATGAGCTGGCAGGGTGCATTTGCAGCCCAGAAAGACAATCATACCCTACATCAAAAGGAGCCTGGCCAGCAGGTCAAAGGGAGTGATTCTCGTCTACTCTGATCTCATGAGATCATCACCTTGAATGTTGCATTCAGATCTGGGGACCTGTCAGCACAGGTCCAGAGGAGGTCCACAAAAATGGTCAGAGGGCTGAATCACTTCTCCTATGGAGAGAGGCTGAGATGTGGGAGAAGACTACAGGAGACCTTATTGCAGCTTTCAATATATAAAAGGTGCTCACAAGAAAGAGGGAGAAAGATCTTTTACTAGGGCTTTTACCACGACAATAGTTTAAACTCAAAAAAATGTTTAGATTTATACTGGATATAAGGAAGAAGTTCTTTGCAATAAGGGTGGTGAGACACTGGAAGTTGTGGATACCCCATCATGAGACATACTCAAGTTCATGTTGGACAAGATTTTGAAAAATCTAATCTAGTGAAAGACGTCCCCACTTGTGGCAGAGGAATTGGCCTAGTTGCTCTTCAAAGGTCACTTCCATGCAAAATTACTCTGTAGTTTTATTCAAAAATTCTGACAGCAGAATCTTTGTTTTGTTAATTCCATTTACACCCCTGTTTTTTTCTTAAAGTTACAACTCCCGTAATGGACATAAAAATTCTATAAACACTGTAGCTGTGATTTCCATTTCTGATTTTCAGGTATACTAGACTACAATAGAACTCTAGCAGCAGATTTCAAGCCATGCCAAATGAGATGTCTTAAGGAAGTTTATTACATCAGTATTAATACCTAATCAAATTTTATAATGGCACTGAAAGAAAGTTTGGTAGAGTAGTTTCAGAAAGACTGATTTCTATAAGCCCACTTGGAGTTTTCTGAAACTTTCTCTTTGCTTCAGGTCTTGCTTAAAAGCAGCATTGACACCTAAAGACCAATTTGAGAGAGTTTAATTTTGGTTAGTAATCTAACAACAGCAGTTTGTGATGGGAATAAATAACACACTTAGTATTTACAAATTCTTTTCTTTCCAAAGAATTAATGCTAAAAAGTTAAAGAAGGAAAACAGCAAAAACAGTCTTAAGGAGCACATCATTTGCTTTTTAAATATGACTGACTTAAATGACACTACTGCACAAAACTGGACACAGATTTTCTATAAGAAAAAAGCAAGATGTAAACATAATTTCCCCTAACTACACTCATAAGTTTAGGACTATTCACATTTTCAAATCTGAGTTTAATTTGAGTCTTAATACTCAAAGTTCCAAGTCTTTTTAGATCAAAAAACATTGATTTATTAAACAAACAAAAAAATGCAAAATTAGGTTCTTGAGACTCTATGTACCTCTACATACGTAGTTATATATAAACAGGTTAGTAAATAGAAAGCAACAAAACTTTTTATCCAGCAAACTCATTCTTATTCAACCTGGAAAATGTCAATAAATGTAACCCAAAACCATTAGTAGGAGAACTTTAGTGTCATTTTGCTGATAGTATTTGTTCATACTGCCTACTCCTTAAAATCTTATTTTATACACTGCAATATTATAAGACTGCTTTGCACAGTTTCAGTCATGTTGGTACTTGAATTTGAAAACAGATTAGAAGCTTATAATATGCTTGAAAAAAAGCATCTGAATTGCTTCAGTTTCTATTTATAAAGTTGTTGAATTTTATCTAAACTGAAAATCCCCACAAGGACAATTCCCTTGAAGAACAGAAAGTAAATGCAAACAACCATATATGTGTTTGCACTTTAAATACTGTAAAGCACTAAGTGAGTTATTTGGTCTTAAGAAAAAAACAGATCACATTCATTTTCTAAATTAATCCTTCACCTCTTATAAAATAAAATATCTTTTTAAGATAGTGATTCATGTTCCACTGCTTTAACTACAGCATACAGTGTATTCAACCTGAGGGTATCTATGCCTGTGTATATTTTATTACAGTGAATATTTATTTTCATCAGGTCTATATGTAAATTAGTGGCTGCTGCTGTGGACTAGAAAATAAATTTGTTGATTTAAAAGGTGAAACAGCCTTCTTATGAAGCCTCTACTGCTCTTTGTTTTATCTGCAGTTACTGGGAGCAACTATAGTAAGAAATAAAAAAAAATCATGGTGACTTTGAAGTGCTTTTGACCATCTGTGGATGGATAGTAATAGAGTTATTCTGATGTTAACTTGTGATTTAGAGATTTCTATTCTTCAGAGCTGAAGACTGAATAATACTTTTGTAGTGTAGGAAGGAGCAGAATCTGTGAAAAGAGAAAAAAAAAACACAGCTCAGACTTTAGCTATGTAATCCAGCACAAATAAATGGAGCCCTTAGCTAGAAACAGCTAGGTTTGGTTTTATTTCAAAAGTTCTCTACAAGTGATCTCCCTGATATCTTACAGAAATTCTGCTAGCTCATATTATACAGAAACTATTCCTTCTCCAGTCTGCTTTTCAAGGCAAGTATTGGCATAATCTGTAGCACAAGAGTTCAGAAGCAGGAAATACAAGAGTGATTTGTGATCCAACCTTAAAGCTTGGAGATAAGTTTTGTCTAGGAAGGCAGAAACATCTATCCCTGAGCTGCTTTACCCCAAATGAGTATAAAGCTGGCCTATGCCTGTCAGGATCAAATGAAGGTTTCAGGAAGCTTGGCTGCCATTTTAGAAGTAGGCAGCTTGCATACACCAGTGTGCAGCTTATGAACACTAAAGAATAGAAGTCCAGTATCAGAACATGAAAAATATTCTGCAGCCACATTGCTTTATATTTCTTTTTTTATATTTCTTTATATTCTTTACATTTCTTTTTTGCCAGGTCTTGTAGGACTGCTCTACAGACCACCTACATGCCAATTCATGAAATGCAAAGAATGAAAAAGATTCATTCCACAAAAATTCATTTGCACACACAAAATCTCAGAGGGATTTAAACCCTATATGGTATTTTGGCTCACAGGAAATTTTCCCTTTGTTTCCTAACAAGTTTTACTAAATGAAAAAAAAAGAGATTTCCAGTTACTTAATTACAGTAAGTCTAAAACAGAACAGCAAGATAAAGTAACATAGATTTTTTAGGTGGGGTGCAATAAAAACAATGTGGTCAAACAATAAGTACATTATATACAGATACATTATTAAAAAATAATCTGTCAATGCAAAGAGTATTTCATATATACATTGTGTTTCTTTTTTCGGAGAAGAAGTACTTTTTGCTGAAATTCAGTCACTAATGCTAATCCCCAGTGAGGTGAGCAAATCGTTGCATACATCGTCATTGAATTAATGCATGTGCAAACACACCATTAAATTTGTATGCATTTGTTCAATATCAAGTGTCTTAGTCAGGGCCCAACATTTAAACAAAACACATTAGACATTTTCACTTTTAGTCTTATTTGCCATAACAGACAATTACAGTTTAAGGATATATTGCTTGTTCTCTTAAAATTTAATGCTTCAATTGTATTTCTGCATTTATATCCAAGATAGTATGAAGTTTACTGCAAGTTAACACATACCCCTTTCTTTTAGGTCTTCAATGTATGATTTCATAAACTCTTTCTCGAATTGCTCACGTTCACGTTCACTTTCTACAATTTCTTCAGTGTCTTTGCCTACAATAGTTTCAACTGGGCTGTCCTTGAGACTTACAAATCTAAAGAGAGATTAACAGAATAATATAGGCATCAGGCTTCTGAACTTCACTGGCCTACATGAATGACATTTTAGAAGTTGCTTCTACAGCCAGAAAGAGAAACGTAAAGAACATTTGCTCAGTTTTTGCATTGTGGAATCATTAGGATCCACTTATTCGCAGAAGTAAAAATTTCAAATAGCACATTCTCTCTACTCCACTTTCCATATAAAATTTATGAGATTTAGCTCTTTTCTTTTTTCTTATCTACATAAATCATTCTTTGCATTACGAAACATATTTCTTCATTATTAAACTTATGGCAGACTATGTGGTAATTTCACAGCTGTTACTGAGCAGTGCAAACTCTTTAATAACTGCCTGTAATCTGAATTTTGCCAGTATTACTTGACTGGCAATATGTATCTCTATTTTTTGGTAGTTGTCATGTTTATTCTCTTTTACAATGTATGACTGGATATGCATTGTGTCATATTTGCAAATTTCCTAAAGTGACACATTGCAGATGAGACACTAGATGGTTACATTCACATCTAAAATAATGTACAAATTAAGTCTGTAACATTTTGAAAATCTCTGATGTTTTTCCCACTCAAGAAGTAAAAAAAAAAAAAATCCAAGAAATGTTACTTTCTAAAGAACAAATGGTCCAACAAATCATACAGCTTTTCAAAATCTCATGAATTGTTGTGAGTCTGTGGTCTGTTGATCTTGGCTGCCAGATTCTCCCACCAAGCAGCCCTCCCACTCCCTGTCCGCAGCAGGGTATGGGAGAACATAAGATGAAAAAGTCATAGGCTGAGATAAAGACAGCTTAATGTAGAAAAACAAAAGCCACACACAGAAGAAAAACAAAGCAAAATAAACATTACAAAAATTTAAAAAAAAACATTCTCTACTTATCAACAGGCAATGTCCAGCCCTTTCCTGGAAACCAGGCACTCAGTATGGGTAGCAGTTTATAATAATCTTATTAAGGTGTTTGCCTTCCGAAGCTTTCTCTTGATTTTATTGATGAGCATGACACCATACAGTATGGAATATCTGTTTGGCCAGTTTGAGTCAGCTGTCCCAGCTGTGTCCCCTCACAAACTCTTGCTCCTCCTCAGCCACTGGCCTTTGTGAGGGGGGTTTGAAGAGGCAGCCTTGATGTAGGAGCCCTGGTCAACAGTAGCAAAACCTCAGTGTGTTATCAACACCATTCTAGCTACAAATACAAATACAGCACTATGAGGACTACTGTGGAAAAAGTTAACTCCATCCCAGTCAGACCCAATATCGAGTCTCAAATGGTATCATAATCAGAGGCCTGAACCTTGGCTGTAGGAATGCAAAATCATTGTAACTGCAGACTAAAAGGCCTTTTAGACTTATCTTGCATGCAGCAACAAGGTGCTGCTTCACAACAAAGAATATATGATCTACTAAACTCATGCGACACTATTTAGACTTTTAACTCCCAGAAGCATACTTTTGACAGCACTGAGCTAGCTTATTAACAGCAAACTGCCAGTTTCCTGGTCCTGCTCTGGCACATGACTATGAGACTCCAGAGTTAGAGCTACTACAACCATGTCTATGTCTACACAGGAATAGCATTTTAGGCATACAGATGCACAGTGTGGGGAAGTGGCAGATGAAAATCAGAAAACTGCTGTTCCTCTGTATTTTCCAAGCTTTCTAGTGCCTCCTTAAGGGCTCTGATATCAATTGAGTCCTGATTTGACCACCAGGTGTGGTAGAAACTGATGCTCATGAAAATATTTCTGCTGAGTGCACCTACTTTATGTTCTTAAGAACATACTTTCTCTCTTTTACTTACTTTAAACCTGTGGTTGACTCACAGACAGCAGTGGGTATCTCAACCAGGTCATCACCACTGACAACTAGCAAACTGAGCTTTGGCATATTGACGAGAGCTCGTGGAAGATAAGTCAACTTGTTTTTCTGTAGGAGAAGTGTCTGAAGTTGATCTAACCTGTAAAAATGTGAAAGATGAAGACAATAAAATATTTATTTCAGACAGGAATATCTATCCAAGACAGCAACACAGAATTAATCTTGTACAAAAGAAGAACATGCACCATCTTTTGCTTCTCAAAAATTACTTATACCACACTTCCACAAATTGCCACCAACTAACCTTAATGGAAATTTCCAGTCATGGTTCAATATTATAGATATTAATAGCATACATCTGAAAAGTACTCAGAAGCATGCCCCAGATAAAAGATTACAAAAATTACTGTGCTTTCATACACATGTTGACAGAATATGATATAAAGGTTCACTATGTGTATCCTGGAACTGATGAAAAATACGAGTCATCAACTCACACCTTTGCCCATATGCTGGCTTCTATGAACTAGATACATTCGTGCCAGGCAGTATATTCCCATCAATTGTTTTTCACTAGTAATTAGTACTGTGGGGAGCAAGAGAAAGACCAGCTCCTGGTCATATGGCTCTTGAAAGTTTTCCCATTGAAATCAATTTAATGACAACATTTTGTAAAGGAACACGTTTAGCTTGGTTTTCTTTACTTACCCTAGCTCTTCTCCTAATGCAATAGCAATTTGTGACTGAGCATTTATTCCTTGGAGTAGACAGAAGACAAAAAGCATAGCAAACTGATGAAACAAGTGTGTCTGATTTGACAGGAAAAGCCCATTCCTTGAACACCATTGTACGAAAACAGAGAAGATGAAATGTAGAAAAGGAGCATTTTGGAGACAGTGGAATATATATGGTTTGCAGGGGGGAAATGACCCTTAAGTTTAGTGAGTAACCTTCCATAAAATAAAAACCTTATTAGAAGCTCTTTCAAATTAATCAAATCTCTGTTCAGATCTGTTGTATACTGTTGTTGTTAGAGCATCTGAATTACTAACATAAAAGGTTTCAGCCCCTGCTGTCAGAGAAATCTGTGATTACACAATGTCCCAGAAAGTTCTTTTTGACCAGCAACAAGGGGTTTGCAAAAGTTAAGGTTGAATAAATTTTGTATGAAGTTTCTTCTGCCTCAAGGATCTCTATTCCCAACTCAACAAATAACGCATATTTTTTTAAATATAAACTTTAGTTAATCCATCATTTCTTTACATATGGTCATGTAACAATCTGTAAACCAGATTACAGCAGGACTCCAGAGTGAATAAATAGGCCCAGGAATAAGTGCTTTCTCAGACTAGTAAGTCCCATTAAGGGGATCAGCATGATTTTTTTAAAAATATCTCCAGTGGATCTCTAAGTTGAGAACATATGTGTGCACATGAATATATACTCCAGAGTAGGAGGGGAAAATTGACAGTAGGTTTTTCAATCTTACTAATATTTTTCTGCTTTACTGCCAAAGTTTGTCAGGTCCTTTAAATATGCTTTAGTTCATCTTTCCCTCCACCCTATTTACCCTCCAGAGTGATACTGCTGCCAACTCCATATGGTGAGTCCCCTTTGCTGGAACTAAGACAGTATGCCCCATGAACTTCCTAAAGAACAATGCTGTCATGAATGCAGCAGAAAATCTAATTAGTTAACTGCAAAGTAGAGGCACTGACTGTGCAATCTGCCATCAATGAGGTAGAAAATGCAGTTTCTGTTATCTGACCTATTCCATCAATAATAATGGTAAAGCTTACATGCAAAACTGTAGGATGCATTTCCAAATGAGGCTTTCTCATGTAATTTTTCATTAATGGTGTCCCTTAGAAGCTTGTTACTTTTTAGATTTGCTTTATAGTTCGCAAGCCTGCCAATAAATTAAAAACATAAACTACCTGTCTATGTCTTCAGGGAGGTCTTTCAGGTTGTTGTTGCTAATATCCAACCACTGCAAATTAGACATCCGAAGTACACAAATTGGAATAGAATGGAATTTGTTTGCTGACACGTCCACAACTGTGACTTGTTTCAGGTTACTTAGCTAGAAAGAAGTGGCACTTTATTTTAGTTACATTTTGCAAAGTACAGAAGACATTTCATTCATCAAAAGTTCCTGGTTTTCTCAAAGCGCTTGAAAAAATAAGAATTGCATGATTATTTTTATTCAACTTTTTGCCAGTCTTATCTCTTAGTTATCATTTTATACCAAAAAAAAATTTCAGAAATAACTATCATCTCCCAAAATGTTCATCACCTTTCTAACACTTTCATGGTATCGAAGTTTCAGATGACACCAAGGCTGGATATAAATAATGACTGGGTTCTTTCCTAGCTTACATATGAAGTAAGCTCTGAAGTAACAAAATACAGTTTTGATTATTGTTAGATGAAAAGTTACCATTCACAAAATCTGAGATTTTATAACTTTCACAAAACCCACATAATTTCCTTTGTTATAACTCTGTTATGCACTGAAGGTGTATTGCTAGGAGACTCTTAGAAAATTAAACTGTCGATTTAAGCAAACAGAAAATTTAGTCAAATATTTTTCAAAGATCTTTATATCATCCATACTGCAAACTAAATAAGGTGCACTAGAGCTTTTTATTTTATGCTTTTCAAACAAATTACCTTTTTAAATAATAAACCTTTAGCACAATGAAGGTTAAGTACAAATGTAAAATATACCTGTTAAAGAAATAAATGTGTTAAATAAACCTCTCCGTGTAGTGAAACGATTATTCACACTATCAGTGCTCATAAAACCATGCATCTAGAAAAAATGTAAGTCAAAGGAGTATAAATGTTAATGAAAAAAAGTTTAGAATGGAAGTTATGTTGCTGAGCTCCTAATCATATGTCACCATCCCAATCTAGCTCTATAGATCCTGATACAAAAGAGAAAGCATCAAAAGAATTTCATTGGTCTTTGCCTGAAGGTTTCTTAGAGTGTAGAAAATTATTAGCAGCCAAAACCCCCAAACCAAATGTATTTTCTACTTCCAAAGTGAGCAAAATTCAAGAAACAGAGTGAGAATTAAAGAAGTAGAAAACAATATAATGCATTCTGTATCCTTGAGAGGGATTTTTTTATTCTTATTATTTAATAAGAATCTACCTATGTTTTGTTCTATTTTATGGCCAAAATTCTTACTGTAGTATTGACAGACTTTTATCTTAATTTGACCTCTGCCATTTAAGATGCTCATGCTCACAGCTTGGTGCTATGTCAGAGCCAGTTTGGTTTGGGATTTTTTGGCAGTGGTTTTTCTTCTTGTTGTTTGTTTGTTTGCTTGTAGAGTGTGAGGTTTTTTGTTTGGTTGAGCTTTTTGTTTTCTGTTTTGTTTTGTTTTTTTCTAGATACAACCTCATATTGCTCTGTAACCTTAAAATTCTTTTCAAGGACATGTACTGAAGTTATAATATCACGACTAAACAATTAAGTTTAACTTTCAAAAACAGAGTAGATATTCAGAGTTTCTTAAGTCAAAGATATAATTTCCAAATAGGCCCACCACTGTATTAGAACAGTCTTGGTGAGGCACCATGGAAATGCTTCCCTCCTGATTCAGAGCAGGCAAGTATCTGAAGGGGGCCTATAGGGATGCTGGGGATGGACTCTTCTTTAGGGACTGTAGCGATAGGACAAGGGGTAACGGGTTCAAACTTAAACAGGGGAAGTTTAGATTGGATATAAGGAGGAAATTCTTTCCTGTTAGGGTGGTGAGGCACTGGAATAGGTTGCCCAAGGAGGTTGTGAATGCTCCATCCCTGGCAGTGCTCAAGGCCAGGTTGGACAAGGCCTTGGGTGATATAGTTTAGAGCGAGGTGTCCCTGCCCATGGCAGAGGGGTTGGAACTTGATGATCTTAAGGTCCTTTCCAACCCTAACTATTCTATGATTCTATATCTTTTCCTGACACTTCTTGCTTCAGAATTATTCTGTTGTTTTGAGGACTGACTACCAGCAATGAGTACTCACACTGTAAATTTTGCAGAGACTGAATCTTTTTTCCTTCCAAAAAGAGTGACACTTCCAGACTGTAGCAATGGAGAAAATAATTAGCACTACCTTTATACTGCATTCACTTTGTGTTTTCAGATTTTGTCACAATTCCAAATCCCAAGCAGATATTTCAGGTTTCTCTGCACTGAGAACAATTTGCTCTCCCCAGAAGAAATTTAGCAGTCGCAGATATAAAACAATGTCCCACAGATTTAAATTCCACCCAAAGTGTTCTGAAACCATTCCCGGAGAAGGAAAGCCACAATTCCTAAACATAAAGCATCAAATTACTTTAAAATCAACTCACATCACTGTTCACACAGATTCTTAAACACATTGCTTTCACATGCCGTCCCTGTCATGCTCAACATAGTAACACTAGGTGGTAAAATGATATTTCTTCAACAGCAGAAGCTTGTTTTACATATTTTCCTGAAAGTACTTTATTGCATTAAAATTTAAAAGTAACATCAATATAGCAATAATATTTTTCTGAACAGATATTTTTCTGACATTTTTCATCTAGTATTGATAGCAGATTTGTTTAATGCTGGACTAGATGGAAACCATAATTTTTCAGGAGTTTGTACTCCTGTAAAATGTAACTAAATATAAGGACATGGACTCCTTTGTTATAAAGTTTGGTTCATCATGCAGTAGAATATATGGAGCCATGATTATGTTGTATAAGCTGCAAGCACTTAGTATTTTTAATTTTAGGATAATATTTAACAAAACCTGTCCATAGTATGTTGAAACCTAATGGAGTTTTTATTTAATCTGTCTCTGATACACCAACAACAAACACCTGTGATATAAAATGACTTGAAAATATGGCAGCCATGTGTTATGTTTTATAAAGAAAATCCTCTGTATTTTATATCTTCTTGAAGGACTGGTGCATTTTTGCACCTTTTATAACGTTTAGTTTTCAAACAAACATGGCTCCCTTATCATTTTTACATTATAATTTATTTTTGATGTTGATTTTTGCTATTTTGTTCTATTATGTGACTTTGAATCAATCAATATATAGCTTTTATGGAAGCACCATTTTAAAAAACAGCTATATTTAATAGTGTAGCTACCTGGACTTGTCATTCTTATGTTTAATCACTCTTGTCATTTTTAGTTGACAAATTGCCCCATTTTGCTTATCTTAATAATTTTGTTCACAGAAATAATCCAGATAACCTTGCGGAACTCCACTGCTTCCCTTTCCCTCTAACAGCTAAGCCTTCAGTTGAAAGAAAAGGAGGCCCTGTCCTGAGCTGAACAAGTTATGTCATTTATGGGTCTGTTTTTATTTCTGTTCTGCTTTTTAACATGAAAGGGTTTTACTGATAAGGTTGCATACAAGTTTATCATGTGTTACCTACTACTTAACACCGACAAATGAAAAGGTGTACAGTCGCATCAAGCTTTGAAACAAAAATACGGTATTTTTTAATTACATTCTGTGACAGAAACAGCATCCCATCAAAGTTAATGTATGACAAGACATACAAAGGCTTAACCAGGAAATGTCTATCAATGCATTACAAACGTGCTTGTGCCCACAAATTCCAGACAGAATGAATTCAAAGAAAATTTATATCACTTCACAGTAGGATCACGTTTTCGATTTGTTGTTTCCCAAATCAAAGAGTGGCACTCAGCATGTCATTAGCCTGCTGAAAGCATTACAGTATATATAGCGAAGGAGCACACTAAGTGCTAACTGCTCACTTGCCCACGTAGATCTCATGCATTCAAATCAAATCCTTAGCTTTTCTTTCACCAAGTTGTAAGTATAACCTATTCTATAATCTCATTTACACTCTTGGAGTAAAGCCTCAATTAAAGGAATAGTATAAGAGCATTTTTAGAGGCAGAAGATATGTTTCGTGAAGACCTACTTGTATACTTGTATTCTAGTCCACTATCAGACTTCCAAACTGGGCTCTTAAACTGGAGGAGGCCAAGGTATTTAACAGTCAACTTCAACCCTTAGTAACAGTGCACTTATTCACAAAACCCTCTGAAGCGTAAAAAAGCATAACTTCAAATAACACTTCTTTTGGTACTAAATAAGCTAAATCCACGAAACATATGTAAAAGCCAGTGTTCACCCAAACGGAATTATTCTGATTTTACAATGCTAAAATCCTAAATCTTTTACAGAGCTAATCCACAAATACACACTGGTTTTCTGATGCTAAAGTTTAACATTATCCCCTTCATTACTGGAGCATTATCATCATTTAAACACCTACTGTTTAAAGTCTAATAGGGCAATTATAGCTATGGTGATGTAAGAATAAAAAGTTAATAAAGAGACTTTGCTTTTTATTAAAGCAGTTTTTTGATACACAAACCTTTCATGATGTCTGCAAAGAATGAGAATGCTGGCTGCATATGCAGTATTCACAAAAATATCAAGTATTCATTATTCATAGGTCATTGAAGAACCAGATAGCAGTAAGAGCAGGGCTATTTTCATACAGTTAAAATCCCTAAGAATGTGGATCATGTGTTTAAGAGTTGTTCCAAGCCACTAGATGAGTCATATGCATGAAATTAAGTACCAAATTAATGATTTTCTGGACTGAGGCCAAAACAAGCTTGCTGTCTAACAAAATAAATAAATAAATAAATAAATGATTGTGCTGATTAGGAACATTAAATTTTTATAGTATTACTGCTGGAGCTACACACAGTCTGCATATATTACTGCACTTTGCCATCATAAAGTCATATCTTCTTCAAGTCTACAAAACATCTAAATTAAGGACACACATTAGAAAGGAAAACTAGTCCCTACCAGAAGTCAATTAAAGGTTTCTCATCAACTCAAATGGATTCAGTAGCTCACTTGGCATGCATATTCTCCATATGTTGTAATTAAAGCCATTAGAAAAGAAAGAGCAGAAATGTCAGTAGCATAAAGGCATTAACTGACCTCTACAGAATGTTTGGATAGGAAGTATCCTTTAAATATGTCAAAGGACCCTTATATTTGCCTTCATAGCAAGATGACCAAAACTATTCACTTTC